ATTGCATATCTACAGGAGACACACCTTTCTGATGGTGAGCATGACAAGCTTAAGAGATCATGGGCAGATAAGGTGTTTTATTCTTCCCACTGCTCAGGTAGAAGGAGAGGAGTGGCCATCTTAGTACATAAACAGGTCCATTTTACCCCTCAATATATTCACAAAGACCCTGAGGGTAGATATATCATGGTAAATGGAGAAATTGATGGGGTGCAGGTCTCACTTTTCAATATCTACGCTCCAAATGAGGATGAAGCCAAATTCATACAAAATATCTTTGACATACTGCTTCAAAAGAGTGTCGGTGTCTTAAAACTCGCTGGTGATTTTAATTGTACGATTTCGCCCTACATGGACCGCCAGCCCAGTTCCAAAAGCCCTGCTTCTCAAATGAGCAAAGTACTGAAACGTCTCACCACAGAACTGGGCCTGATCGATGTTTGGAGAAATCGGTTTCCAAGGGTCAGAGACTTCACCTTCTACTCACCTAGGCACTCCTCTTATTCAAGAATAGACATGTTTTTCACTCCAAAAGCTGAAGAACACCGAATCGAGGACATCAACATCTTACCAATTACATTGTCCGATCATGCCCCTCTGGTTTTAAAATGGGATGTGTGTCAAACACCAAAAGTTAAACACTGGAGATTGAATGCTTCACTCCTTAACGATAAGGAATTTTGTAATTTTATTACTAGTGAATTAGACACTTATTTAGAATTAAATTCCACCCCTGAGATATCACCTCTTATTTTATGGGATTGTGCTAAGGCCTATCTTAGAGGCCGTATAATATCATTTGCTTGTGCCAAGAAAAAGAAAAATGAGGCTAGACGGCGAGAGCTAGAGGGTAAGATAACAAACCTAGAACAAAAACATAAAAGAACTCAAACCCCAAATCTACTCAGTGAACTCAAATCATTGCGGAAGGAACTTGACAGTCTGATTACAGAAAAAATAGAGGGTAACTTGAGATTCACTAAACAAAAATACTACGAAAATGGAAATAAGGCCAGTAGATTGCACTGAGACTTAAAAAGCAGCAATCTGCTAATACGGTTCAAAAATTGAAGAATGAACATACAACGATCACTAAACCTGACAAAATTGCAAACTCTTTTGCAGAGTATTACAAATCTCTGTATAAAAATACAGATACTTGCCAAGATGACCACGTACTGTCCGAATTTCTAAAAAACATAAAATTAAAGACACTTACAGAATGCACAGCAAAACAGTTAGATGAACCAATTAAAGAACTGGAAATTCAACAAACAATCTCTAACCTGAAGAGTTTTAAGAGTGCTGGTCCTGACGGTTACATCAATGAATTTTATAAAAAATTTAGAGAAAAATTGACCCCATTATTACTTCAAGCTTATCATTATGCCCTGCGGACCGAATCCATGGCGCCTTCCTTGAATGATGCTACCATCGTTGTCATTCATAAAGAGGGCAAAGATCCAACAGATTGTCAGTCATATCGACCAATCTCATTGCTCAACACAGATTTACGTATCCTCACGGCAGTCTTGGCCAAACGGGTTGGTAAAATTATCACAAATATTATAAACCCAGACCAGACGGGGTTCATAACCGGAAGGCACTATGGGGACAACGTTCGTAGACTTCTAAATTTAATTTCTATTTCTAAAACCCAACAAAACGAAGCAATGATTCTCTCTCTCGATGCCCAAAAGACATTTGATCGGGTGTCCTGGCAATATTTAAATCACACATTACAAACATTTAATTTCGGCCCAAACTTCATTAAATGGATCCAAATTTTATATTCTAACCCTTCAGCCAGTGTAAAGGTCAACGGAACAATATCAAACAGATTCCCACTAGAACGCGGCTGCAGGCAAGGATGCTCATTATCACCCCTGCTGTTTGATCTAAGTATTGAACCTCTAGCACAGCTAATCAGAGATGACGTAAACATTACAGGATTTTTAATAAATGGTGAACATCACAAACTGTCCATATATGCCGATGACGTATTACTATACATCTCAAATCCAACGACAACCATCCCTCATCTAATGAAAATAATCCACTCCTATGGCTACCTCTCTGGGTACAAAGTCAATATCGAAAAAACGGTAGCAATAGACATAGTGGGAAACATATCAAAACATTTCAAAGATCAGAGTGGTTTTAAATGGCCAAAGGAAGGTATGAAGTATTTAGGTATTCAAATCCCACTCTCTTTAACAGAATTATACAAGGTAAACTACAGGGTTTTAACTGGGAGGATTAAAAAAGACTTGGAGAGGTGGACGGTCCTGCCTCTTTCTTTCATGGGGCGCATAGAGAGTAAATGTATGAACATTTTACCCAGACTATTATACCTCTTCCAAATGCTGCCTATAAATATTCCTAATTCTACATTTGATGAACTGGATAAACTCCAGGGTAAACGCCCTAGAATTAAATTGCAAACAAAGTCACAAGGTGGAGTTGCACTACCCAATCTCAAGCATTACTTTTGGGCAAATGAGACCCTTGGTTGTTTGGATGCAGGACCTGTCTTACACTCAATGGCTTAATATTGAAAAGAGTTTATGTAATACGCCTATTAACAATTTGCCTTTCCGTAATGTCTCACTGAGGGAAGTACAAATGTGCGAGTGGACTAAGATTACATTTAAGATCTGGAATAAAATTAAGCAGTCTTATGGTCTTCCAAGAGAAATTTCAGTCCTCTCAGATATCTCCAGCCTCCAGGGATTTGCCCCATGTCTAATCGATGCTAGCTTTAAAATGTGGTCAACTTTTGGTCTTGTTAAGGTGAGCCAGCTGGTGGGCAGCGGTTTCCTGAAATCTTTTGAGCAGCTCAGGAGTCAATTTCAGCTTCCTCTTCAGATTTCTTTCGATATCTACAGTTAAGGAGTTTTTTGACCAAACACAGAGAATGGAACAAAGTCCTACATCCCTCAGTTATTGAAGAACTTCTACTAGAAATATATCAGGGAAATTGTTCTCCAAAAACGTTAAGTCTTTTTTATAAAGCACTCTCAAATTTGAATTTCAATAATACTTCATACATTAAAGCAAGATGGGAGGCTGAGATTTGCACTCAAATGACAGATGAGATGTGGGAAAATATTTGCATTGAATCGCACCTAGTCACAAATTCTGGATTATGGAGAGAATTTAAATGGAAAATGATCACAAGATTTTTTAGGACACCAGAAATCACATCCAAAATGAATCCTTCTAATCCTGACACCTGCTGGCGCAATTGTGGTACTTACCTGGGAACTCACACCCACATATTTTGGACATGCCCAAAGGTGAATTTGTTTTGGAATGATATATTTACCACACTCAATACAATATTTCAGCAACCGCTTATAAAAGAACCACAGCTTGCCATCTTGGGGGCGGTCCCGGATGGCTTTGGAGGAAATAGCAGTAAATATCTTTTGAGAATTTTACTGACTGCTGCACTTAAGTGTATTACTATCAAATGGTTGAGTCCAGAACCACCTACTTATACTATTTGGATTGAGAAAGTAAGAGAGATATATCACATGGAGGAGATCACATACTCCCTAAGATTGCAGAGAGAACTTTTCATGAAGAGATGGAGGCCCGCTGTGGGCTTATTTGTTGCATAGCTTTGTTTGTGTTTTTGTGTTCTTATTTTTGCTTAATTTCCATTGTATATGTGCATTGGTGAATTTCTGCGAAATTTACATGCTATGCATTTCCATTGCACATGTTGTAACATTTATAAAACTCAATAAAAATAAAGTGAAAAAAAAACAAACAAAAAAAAAAACACCCCCTGTTCAGCCTGTGGGTGACCTCCAATGGGTTAATGATCTAGACCACTTCTTCCTGCGGTTTGATCAGAGACCCACCCCTCCCCCAGCTCAGCTGCATGTCCTAGCCGCCTCAGCAGTGGAAAATAGCCCAGTCGTTCACACCTCTGTCAGTGCCCCACGGCCCCCTCCCCTCAGACACACAGACTCACCCAGCCCCCCTTTCTTTCACACCTGCTCAGGTGAGAGCTGTGATGAAGAAAATCAAGACCAGGAAGGCAGCGGGACCAGACCATGTGAGCGCCAGGCTCCTCAGCTCCTGTGCAGACGAACTGTGCGGGGGTTATCAGATTCAGATTCAGTTTATTTGCCATTTGCAGTAAAAAAAACACATTGGGATACATTAGCAAAAGTCTCCAGTGTGCACAGACAAATACAGACATAAAACAACATTAAAAGACAAAAATAAAACAAATAAAACAGTAAACAAATGTCACTGTGAAATCGATCGACTAAAACAGTTTCAAAACAAGTGCAAATCATTAAAGTGCTCTGTTCACACTGATAACAGCTTGTGGATAAAAACTGTTAGCGTAACAAGATGTCCTGCATCTCAGAGAGCGATATCTTCTGCCAGAGGGAAGAAGCTGGAACATGGCTTTTCCAGGGTGGCCAGAAGAGTCATTGACAATCCTAAGAGCTTTGTTTAAAAGTCTGGATTTATAAAGAACCTCCAGAACAGGAAGCTCACAGCCCACGGTCCTCTTTGCAGAGCGGAGCACCTTGTTTAAAGCTCTCTTTTCTTTATCTGTGATGTTTCCAAACCACACAGACACAGAACCAACAAGTAAACTCTCAATGGTGCAGCCATAAAAGTTAAGCACAATCTTAGAGTTAGTGGTAAATTCTCTAAGTTTACGCAGAAAGTAGAGACGCTGACGAGCTTTCTTAACGACTCGGTCAGTGTTTTTAACCCATTTCAGGTCGTTAGACAGAGTTAAACCCAGAAACTTACACTCCTCTACGATTATGGGGCACGTCTTCAACCTGAGCCTCAGGCTGAGGTCGGTACCACAGCTCTGGAAGACCTCCTGTGTGGTACCAGTGCCCAAGAAACCACGGGCCAAAGACCTCAGCGACTTCAGGCCAGTGGCTCTAACATCCCACTGCATGAAAACACTGGAGAGACTGGTCCTGGGACATCTCCGCTCCACTCTGAGCCCAGCGATGGACCTGCTGCAGTTTGCCTACAGGCCGGGCATCGGAGTCGAGGACGCCATCATCTCCCTCCTCCATCGCTCCCTGTCCCACCTGGAGAAACCTGGCTCCACTGTGAGGATTCTGTTCTTCGACTTCTCCAGCGCCTTCAACACCATCCAGCCGCGGCTTCTTAGGGACAAGCTGGAGACAGCTGGAGTGGACTACGACCTGTCCCAGTGGATTCTAGACTACCTCACAGACAGACCCCAGTTTGTGAGAACCAGGGACTTTTGTGTCTGAGGTCCTGACCTGCAGTGTGGGGGCCCCCCAGGGGACAGTCCTCTTCACCCTCTACACTGCGGACTTCAGACACAACACGGACGGTTGTGTTCTACAGGAGTTCTCTGACGACTCTGCCATCATCGGACTCAGCTCCGAGGACGATGACACAGAGTACAGAGGAGTTATACAGGACTTTGTGGACTGGTGTCAGCGGAACCACCTCCTCATCAACGTGAGGAAGACCAAGGAGATGAACCACCTCCTCATCAACGTGACGAAGACCAAGGAGATGAACCACCTCCTCATCAACGTGAGGAAGACCAAGGAGATGAACCACCTCCTCATCAACGTGACGAAGACCAAGGAGATGAACCACCTCCTCATCAACGTGACGAAGACCAAGGAGATGAACCACCTCCTCATCAACGTGAGGAAGACCAAGGAGATGAACCACCTCCTCATCAACGTGAGGAAGACCAAGGAGATGAACCACCTCCTCATCAACGCGGGGAAGACCAAGGAGATGAACCACCTTCTCATCAACGTGAGGAAGACCAAGGAGATGAACCACCTCCTCATCAACGTGAGGAAGACCAAGGAGATGAACCACCTTCTCATCAACGTGAGGAAGACCAAGGAGATGAACCACCTCCTCATCAATGTGAGGAAGACCAAGGAGATGAACCACCTCCTCATCAACGTGAGGAAGACCAAGGAGATGAACCACCTCCTCATCAACGTGAGGAAGACCAAGGAGATGAACCACCTCCTCATCAACGTGAGGAAGACCAAGGAGATGAACCACCTCCTCATCAACGTGAGGAAGACCAAGGAGATGAACCACCTCCTCATTATTTTTAAAATAAACTTGCCTTGCCTATTGCAAGTATGTCTCGACTAGTAAGTGATTCTGCAGAAGTTAAGTGGGTCAATAGGACTGTAAATGGACGTCATATAAACGTCAATATTTTGGTCATTTAAGACGTCGATAGGACGTCGGACCCGACCGGTTCTGTACCACATTCAAACCTTGAATTGACGTGACATCAACGTCACACTTGGAGGTTGAGGTGACGTCGGGAAAACATGTCCGGATGACGTCGGGAAAAGACGTCCGGATGACGTCGGGAAAAGACGTCCGGATGACGTCGGGAAAAGACGTCCGGATGACGTCGGGAAAACACGTCTGGATGACGTCGGGAAAACACGTCCGGATGACGTCGGGAAAACACGTCCGGATGACGTCGGGAAAAGACGTCCTGGTATTTGATATACGAGCCCCCAGACTTCCTCGAGCCAAAATGAATTACAATACAACCTTTCAGCATACAATATATATACTATTACCGAAATAGGACTTATTGAAATTATAACTTAAACAACATTCCATTGTCAGTTTGGTTTAAGTAGAAATGCTGTCGAACCACACTGCTAATGTAAGATAGCAGTCCCTTTCTTTACTGATGTAGGCCGATGACGTGTCCTATGGCTAACTCAACACTTAATAGCTTACAAATGATCTGTCGGGTTGATAATGGAAAAAATAAACAAAATCTTCTTACTAAGTTGTAAGCTAACAGTTGTCGAGCTAGCCACAGGACAAGCCTTTGGCCTACGTCAGTAAAATGACGTATACTCCAGTTACCTAATTAAACTAAGGTTCCATGAACATTTCTCGGAAGCACCGCTTCCCACCCGGAGAAGATCAAACGATCCTCCGCTCCAATCACCTTGACATCCTGGCGTAGGTCGGTCCTCTATACTAGTGTAAGGATGTCTTCAAGAAAGATTCCTCCGGTGTCAGGTTGCGGATGTGTGTCTTGTGCCCGGCGGCACTCTCCCAAGTTGACCGCCACGAATCCTGTGTCTTTTGCCTGGGCTGGCATCATGCCACCGTGTGTGTGGCTCGCACTCTCCGGAAAGGAGCGCGATAGACGTAGCGGGTCGCTGATTACCACAAGAAGTGATGCCCAGGGTGGCCTCGCTCATGATGTGCCACCCTCTACCAACGCTGCTGCTTCGCCTGGTTCTTTGGAAATGTCAGGCTCCGCATCTGGACAGAGGTCCAACTACAATAAAGGGGATTCGGTAAAGGCCTTCAACGAAGACGCCTTGTCCTTCCATCCTTCCATTCCCAGGAGGGGGGGTAAAGCGAGCGCTTTCTCCTGGATTGCTTCTCTCATCTCATCGACTGTAGATTATCTTCATTCCCTCACTCCAGAGGTCTGGCTCCAGTCTCGTTCTCGCTCCGGTCTAGCGACGGGCCCCCTCTCGAGGTGGACATCAGCCGTGGCTTGACAGTCTCCTCTATGCCTTCGTTCTCGCTCCGGTCTAGCGACGGGCCCCCTCTCGAGGTGGACACCAGCCGTGGCTTGACAGTCTCCTCTATGCCTTCCCACCTCTCCGACTCCTGGCAGCCCTGCTTGAGGACGGAGGGGACCTCAATCCAGGTGGTGGCGCCGAACAGTCCGGGAGCCAGATGGTATCCTGGTGGGCATGGAGCTCAGTCCGCCTTGGCCCGTTCTGGACTGTCCTGATGCTCTGAGACAGGCAGGGCCGTTTGGCTGACGAGGCTCAGGGCTTGTCGCCTTCGGCCCTGTTGAGGGCTCACTCCACTCGCGGGGTTGCCGCGGCAGTGGTAGTACTGTTCCGCGGCAGTGGTACAAGCCTGTGTCTTGTGCAGGTTTTGTATACACTAATAGCCTTTTTTTCTGTTGATTCTTCCTTTCCTATCTGCATATGTGTAGCCAATAGTTTGATTTGAACGCAGCTGCTTGTTGTCTGCCCATCAGTCCAACGGAACTCACATCATGTACAAGAACACAGTGTGGATCGAGAGTGTGAACAACACGGGGAACGTCATCACTCGAGATAAGACCATCAATGTGGAGTTCTCTTGTGCATACGAGCTGGACCTCAAGATCTCCCTGGAGACCGTCCTCAAGCCTATGCTCAGGTACCAATCACAACAACTTTATGCTAGTATTACTAAAAACTAAATACATTACTAAAAGCTACTCCCAGTTTTTTTTTATGAGGGCACACTTCTGAGTATGGTTAAAAACTCAACTAAAATCCATTAACATGTGTTAAGGGATTTTAGTTGGAAGTTGAGTCCAACATTTATGAAATCTCTTGCATTAGGCCTGTAATTTCCCCCTTTCTGTTTGTTGCAGTGTGATCAACCTGACCCTGCCCACCCAGGAGGGGAACTTCATCACAAAAATGGCACTATACAAGAACGGCTCGTACCGACACCCTTACCGCGAGGGCGAGGTGGTCCTGAGCACGCGGGATGTCCTGTACGTGGGTGTCTTTGTGGAAGGAGCTGATGAGAACCAACTGATTCTCATTGTCAATATGTGCTGGGCCACTCCTTCACGCTTCAGTGGTGACCGCCTGCGTTACATCATCATCGAGAGAGGGCAAGTATTTACGCACCCCTAGATTTATTAGTAGCAAGCCATGGTTGCATCCCAATCAGAAATACATACCTTTTCTTAAGCTGTGTTCACACCGGACTCAACTTTGACTTCAGGAGCGTCAGGTTTGCATTCAAAATAAATGGTGGCGCGCGTCAGCTAGCACCAAGAGGCCCACGTCACTTGGCGCATGTCAAAAGACGCAAACGTTACGTGTGTCTTTTTCTGCGTCAAAATCTCTTGACGCCAAAGTTGAGAAAAGTTGAGCTTTTCGAGCTTCACGCCGGGCATCAACCAATCAGGAGACGAGGAAGAGAACCACCACCAGCAGCAGCTGGTCTGTCATGGAAAGAAGTCATGTAGCTGCTGCTTTGTTGTTTTGTTGTTTTGTTGTCCATCCATCCATCCATCCATCCATCCATTTTCTACCCTTTAATCCATTTCTGGGTCAGGGGGGTGGCAGTCAGAGATGCCCCCCAAGTCTCATAGCACCAGCCCCTCACTGACCCTCTGCAGGCTGTAAAACAGCTGCAGTACATTCAAAATGCAGCAGCTCGAGTCCTGACTAGAACCAGGAAGTACGACCACATTAGTCCGGTCCTCAGGTCCCTGCACTGGCTTCCTGTGGCTCAGAGAATAGACTTTAAAACAGCTCTGCTTGTGTACAAATCTCTCCATGGCCTCGCACCAAACTATATTAGTGACATGTTAGTCCCATATGAACCAGCCCGGACTCTGAGGAGCACAGGGACTGGACTCCTGTTAGTGCCCAGAGTCAGAACTAAACATGGGGAGGCTGCTTTTCAGATTCATGCTGCTAAAATCTGGAACAGTCTTCCTGAAGATGTGAGACAGGCCTCCTCTCTGACAATGTTTAAGACAAGGTTGAAAACAGTTCTGTTTAGCTGTGCATACAACTGAGGGATTTTATATTTGTATCTTTCTCTTTTTTTTAATGTACCGTGATTATTTATGATTTTAATGCTTTCTTGTTCTGTTCAGCACTTTGAATTGCCTTGTGTATGAATTGTGCTATACAAATAAACTTGCCTTGCCTTGCCTTGCCTTGCCGTGAGTCCACAGGAGGACAGCTGCTCTCTGAGTGTGAGCATAGCCTTGATCTTTCAGTGGGGGCTTTGTGCAAAGTGGGGTTTAGTGTCTTGCCCAAGGACACAACGACAGCAGTCATCAGTGGGAGTCGGTGGAGAAGGTGTAGAGGTGGATATTGAACTCACGACCTTCTGGCCTTAAGGCCAATGCTCTACCAACTGAGCTACTGTCGCCCCGCTACTGTTGTCATTATTGTTATATTAGCAATATAATTAAGTAACAAAATCAATGTACACATGCTATGAAGTAAAAGTAATTTATTTAATATAAGAACAAGCTGACGCTGAGTGTGGCTCAAACACAAAGCAGACTGCTTGACAGCAGACAGATAGACAGACGCTCCTCTGTGGGAATCAGGTGCCTGTAGTTGGTGTCCAGGCGGGCGATGTGAGCTCCAGGCGAGCGAGGCAAGCTCCAGGCGAGCGAGGCAAGCTCCAGGCGGGGGAGGCGAGCTCTGATGCGGGTGAGCAGGTACTCAGACTGGATAAGTAACCTACGCAAGTACTGTTGAAAGAGAAACTCATCCGTATTGGCTCCTGAAGTAAATGGTGAAACTCAACAAACACTGCAGCCTGCCTCTCAAGTCTGTGGCGGACCCTAACAACTAAAGGCAGCTGCTTTCTGAAAATCCACCATTGTCTCTGGACAGGAGCGTCAAGCACCAAAATGACAAAAATAAATCAGCGTCAAACAACGCGTGTCACAGGCGTTTTGAAGCTTTTGGAGTAAACACAGCCTTACTCTTGTCAGACATTTTATGACACATATAGCTTCGAATGCAACTAGGGTCATAGTGCAGCGTCTCCAGATGTTGATGCTCGGCTTGGTCAGGACTCCCGGAGCTGAAGGATTTACCAGGCAGGTTTTTAGTGGTAGGGGAAACCAGAGCACCCGGAGAAGACTGGAGCAGACACGTGGAGAACATACAAACTCCACTCAGAAAGACCCTGTTACTACTGGGATTCGCACTCAGAACCTTCTTGCTGAGAAGCGAGTGCTATCCACTCAGCCACCGCGCCAGGGTTTGGCCAAGTGAAAATTTGCCATTTTTGTTGAGATTCATGTTCTTAGCAGTTAACTCCATCCCCTTATCACTGAAATTAGCAGTGCACTTATAACTTGTAATAGCAAAGTGTTTTTGGCCTTAAATGAGGACTTTTACTTTTGACCGGTGGTTTTCGCGCCCACCTTTCCCATCATGGAGCTTGCCAATGCAACTGAACGCAGACAGTGTTGACCGTGGCGCACGGGAGCGAATCGCAGTGGCTATTGTTGAGCCTATATTCCCTTATGGGAAAATAACTGAAAAAACAATCTTTAATACTCCTACTACAATAGTTGAGATGGGCACTAAACCCACCTCCTGTTCCTCACTAAAATACTAAAAGGTGTGAAAACAACATAAAAATATTTTATAAGTGGAATGATGCTGCAGTCGGTTTGTCTTGAGTTAGAGTCACCATGTTTCATGTTTTATTAAAGTAATTACATTTCCCATTTATGCCAATAGATGGGGGTGTTTTCTAACCCAAATCATGTATTTTTCCATGTTCGTCGATGATGGTCAGGTGTCCGAACACAAAAGACAGCACGATTGGCATGGCAGAAAACGGCGTGGGGCTGACGTGTCGCTTCCATGTGACAGTTTTTAAGTTCATTGGAGACTACGATGAGGTGCACCTCCACTGTGATGTCACGCTGTGTGACTCCGACACCAATGCCTGCAAAGTGGTACGCACAGGACTGGAAATAATTACTGAGATATGAAGGCCTTGCACTTGTCCCTCAAAGCTACACTACTTCACTGAAATCAACATCCATTCACTCGGCACTCTGTGAAGATGCAGTGTGTAAATTAAAATCAAACAGCTCATACAGGTACTTATTGTAATCACCAGCCACTATGATGGCATGTCAAGCCTTAATCCTATACTGACTGAACACAGATGACAGACTTGTGCACCCAGGCATTGAATACAGGGCAAAGCAGTTTTCTCTGAAACATGCTAACTCTGAGGAGACGCTGTAATAATGATTTCTGGACCTATCTGTGTGTGTGTGCTGTGTGCAGAACTGTCCACACAAGCAGAGGATGTACTCAGAGGACACTGATCATAAAGAGCACATCCTGTCAGTAGGGCCCATTCGCCGCAGAGGTGAGCCAGCATTTTTTATCTTTAACACATTCAGTTACTTTTACAATACAGACACATCCACTGGCCAATACCATTTGCTTCTTTCCCATTGCAACATGACATCCAGAGTACGCTTTTTTACCTCTACCTAGGAGATAAATTGATCACCGGCATTTGTGTTTTGGTTTCTTTGAGTGCAACTTAACTCAAAAAGTAATGGGAAGGTTTTGACATAATTCAGTCAGGCAACATGCACAATGGCCCAGTGAACAACATTGAATTTTGGAGGGCTGCTTAGCGGACCATGTAACAACACGTGTGACGTGCGGCTCCTGCAGTTTTTTGATTTTCCATTACTTTTGGCACGTTTTTCTAACTTTTTAAAGTGGGACCTAGTACTCTAATCTACAATCGTCTGCTCGCTAACTTTGTCTACGATTTCAACAATGCCTAAAGGTAGTAAGAGCGCAAACGCCCCTCTGCTAACACCGCGGCCTGGTGCTACCTCCTTTACCCCGCCCCAGAGTGGACCATCAGCGCCGTGGCCTGCACTCGGCGAGCCACTAGCCAAATCTGACACCATCAAGACGGATATACTTTCCGCTCTTCGTGAGGAAATCAAGACTATGTTTAAGTCCGAACTACATGTAGCTCTTGGGGAAAACCTTATGTCGATTAAGTCGGAATTGCTTCATTTCAAGGAAGAAATGTAGTCTGATATCACTACGATGAAGCAAGAGTTTGCGGGGCTAAGGGGCACTATTGTGGACATGGAACAGTCGCTTTCCACGTGCACAGATGACATCACCATTCTTCGCTCCCAGGTGGAAAACATGGCTAAAGAAATGGTCAAGTTGGAGAACAAATGCGCAGACTTGGAATCACGATCGCATAGGAACAATATTCGCATTATAGGGTGTTATTGTTATCCCCGTGTTATTGTGGCGAGGCTAGATTATTACTCAGACTGTGCCAATATCCTCCGGAGAGCTAAGGAGCTACAGAGGATGAGGGTAAGGGGTATGTCCATCTCAATCTTCCCCGACTACACCGCGAAGACCGCCCGTGCCCGCGCTGCATTTAATGTTTGTCGCCAGTTACGGGACATTGAGGGAGTCCGGTTCGGCATTCTGCATCCAGGCAAGCTGCGCATTACGTACAAAGGGGTGCAGCGGGATTTCACCTCGCCAGATCAAGCCAAGATCTACATAAAGACAATCGAATCACTACCTCCAGAAAAGTAATGCCTCTTTGTTTGCAAACTAAGATGCTGGACTTTGGTGAGTTATGACTGATGTTATGTGGCTATTATATCACCACAATTTATATTTAAATTGTTATATGTTATTTTTGAACTACTGAATCCAATTTAAGTAATAACACTGTTATATTGTTTTTTTTTCCTTCCTTATTTTTTGAGGCCAGGTCAAGGATGTAATCCATATGTGCCATCTATGTTTACGTATTATTCTGCAGGAGCGACTGTGTTCAGCTGGTTATTGTTTTGCTATACAGTCAGAATGTCCTTTTTTTTCTATTCTTTGACTCTGTAGGAGTTTGCACTGCCGTCTCTATCGTTTGGGGATGGGACGTTTTCTGTGCGGGTGGGACAAGGGAGGGTTGATCGTGGCTTTAGCGTTCTATTATTTTTTATTATTATTATTATTTAGTTTTATGTTTTACCCCTCCACTTTATATATTTACATACTTTTGGGACAATGTGGAAAACCTAAAGTTTAGAGATGACTAACTTTTCAAATCATGATATTAGGTTTTTGACTTGGAATGTGAAAGGTATAAATAACCCCATTAAACGTTCGTAAGTAATTACACATTTAAAACTCCTTAAAAGTGATGTAATGTTTCTTCAAGAAACTCATTTGCGTGACAGGGATCATGTGAGGCTCAGATGTCCATGGGTGGAACATGTATTTCATTCTACTTTTAATTCAAAGGCTAGAGGTGTGGCCATTTTGATTAGCAAAAAAGTACAATTTGAAATGTCAAATTTAATAGCACATAAGAATGGGAGGTACTTGATTGTTGTTGGCAACTATTACGAGCCACAAGGTGGTGGTGTCTAGGAGTGTGGCTCAATAACAAAATTAAAACCGGGTGTGGAACAGAGATGGGAGGCGGAGGTCCAAAAAGTAAAAGGTTTATTAAAAGAAGTGCAAAAGAACCACTGTTCAATCACAAAACAGAATGCTCCAAAAGGGGTGCGGTAGAGACACAGGACCCACTGGTCCAACGGACAGTCGAAGTTGCAGAGAGAGTCAGCCTGGTCTCGATCCAGGCCCTTTATGCCTCCCAGCTGATTACCCACAGGTGTGAGTGGGACATCACTCAGCTGGAGGTGGGAGGGTCTGACAGGTGGAGACAAGGAGAAACACAATATACAAAATCAAAAGGACTTTGTCCGTAACACCTCCCCCCATAAAAACTAAGGTCGACTCCTCTTTAACAGGAAAACACAGGTTCTTCTGTAAAACACAAACTAATTCACAAAGTGGGAGAGCATATGGGTGCCACCACCACCACCCAAGTGATGATGCAAGTCCCCTGTGACGCCAAGAGGCCTCAGACACAACATGGTCCTTTCCACTCCAGTGCTGATACGAACGGTGTAGTCTACAGTCAGCAGCGCCCCCGCAGCAGCCGTTGATCCGGGTCGGACATCAGGGCCAGGGAAACCAGGGTGTTGTGGTCTGAAAAGAAAGTTACCGGGACACAAGGCGACCCAACAAAAAACGTAGGCGCTGCAGAGCCAGCAGCATTGCCAACGCCATGCCCATGAAGGACAAAAACCGAAACACACCAGTCAAACTGTCTGATTTCGGTAGAGACCTCGTCATGCAGTTTGGTTGGTCCAGGTATGCCGCAACTTAACACAAGTCCAGCCAGACTGAACTTCTGACCAGCCTTATCTGTGGGTGGAGGGGACACAGAAGTGAGTAACTCTGGCTTCTCAATGTAAACCGTGGTGTCATCAGGCCGTCCACACGAGGGCGCACCAACACCTGCAAAATCAGGAGCAAGCACAGAATTACCAACGTCACTCTGCCTACCTCTTTCAGACTGAGCGTGGGTCAAAACGCTCATGGGACACACTTTTCCACCTGCACTGTCGCTCCACATGATGGACTCCACCCCATCAATTGGAGACTGGTCACGAGCAGCTACAGGGAAAGCTCCAACCACGTGCGCAGGACTAACATTAGCACTATGAGCCTTGGACCACGACTCACAGGACCGCAAAATAGCACCTTTCACGCAGTCATAGTCCAAGATGTCTGAGACTGCCAAAGATGCACACGCTTCAGACGCCCTGCCACTTAGGTTGCACTGCAGAAGGATTGCCCACACATCCCTAGGCCAGTGCAATGCCCCTGCAATGCGCTCAAAAACACCAAAATATGACTCAACCTCCGTCTCACGGAAAGTCGGAATAAGGTGGATGTTTTGAGTCACGTCAAACTCGGGTGGACTGACCACAGGTGACGAGGAAACTGGACTGCGACCCGCCGATTGCAACTCCAATTGCCGCATCCTAAGCGCAGCGTCAGCCTCTATCTTTTTAAAGGCCACTTCGCGAGCAGTAACAGCCTCCGCTTCAATACGCTTTAATGCAATCTCACACTTTAGATGAAACTCACGCTCCTCCTTCTCCCTCTCGTACTTTAAACAAGCGATGCGCACATCCATGCGCGCATCACGTGGAGAACGTACCAGAGACTTCACCTCAGTCTCTTCAAACAGTGCAGAAGGAGAGCCCACCTGTGGCTGCTCCATGCGCTCTATACCAGGACGCACAGGGGACATTACTGTATCTCCCGCAGTCACTCGATCAAGCAAATCCACTTTGCTACACAAACCCAACGCCACTTGCGTTGGCTCAGCCACCAAGGCTTCTAAAACAAATGTAGCCATCTCTCACCGGACGTAAGGCAATCACGGATCCTGATACAGCTGATCCCACTCACAGCTGACTACACCTGCTGCTGCTCTCCACAACGACACGCCTCTTGGCATGAGTTGCGCACGCGCACAGCTGCGCGCAAAGATCACACATACACACACTCACGGGGAAGAAAAGAGTTATGCAGGGTGCATCAATGAAAATCAAATCCTGTAGTTAAACAAGAATTGAACCCAGACTCCTACTCAGGAACAACTAGACCTAGATATCTTCTGGGACTTGCCGGATTCGTCCCAAAAATAAAAAAATAAAACAAAAAACGGATGTCCAAAGGAATGGTGAATAAATCAACCAAGCTGGACACCCCCCCTAGTCAAGCTGGGTCAATTTGGAGCTGACTGCCACTGAATGCCACACACACACACGCGACGCACCCAGAGCGCACGTCTCCAGTGCACCCACCTCAGTTCCAGACGAGCCCCCAACTATTACGAGCCACAAGGTGGTGGTGTCTAGGAGTGTAACTCAATAACAAAATTAAAACCGGGTGTGGAACAGAGACGGGAGGCGGAGGTCCAAAAAGTAAAAGGTTTAAGAGGTGCAAAAGAACCACTGTTCAATCACTAAACAAAATGCTCCAAAAGGGGTGAGGTACAGACACAGGACCCACTGGTCCAACGGACAGTCGAAGTTGCAGAGAGAGTCAGCCTGGTCTCGATCCCGGCCTTTTATGCCTCCCAGCTGATTACCCACAGGTGTGAGTGGGACGTCACTCAGCTGGAGGTGGGAGGGTCTGACAGGTGGAGGCAAGGAGAAACACAATATACAAAATCAAAAGGACTTTGTCCGTAACAGTAATATACATGGCTACCCTGTAATATTAGTTAATGTGTATGCTACCAACTTCGACAACCCCAGATTTACCGATTCATTATTAAGTGGACTTCCTTCCCTTGATACTCACCTTTTAATATTTTCTGGAGACCTAAATCACTCAACTCCTAAGACCATGACTCCATCATCTATGTCTAAATCTGTCTCAGAATTCATGTTTTGAAATGGATGTGCAGAACCTTGGAGGTTTTATAACCCTGATACAAGAGCATACTCCTTTTACTCTTGAGTACGTCAGTCGTATTCACGTATAGATTTTTTGTTGTTGACAGTTCTCTTATATCTAAAGTAACTTTCGCTATCATCCAATTGTCATCTCTGACCATGCACCGCTTAGTGTTGACATTAAACTACACGATTGACCTCGGTTTTCATCTCCCTGGAGGTTCAACTCTTCATTTTTAGCAGATGAAAAATGTAAGGCCTTGATACAATCAAAAATTGATAAATACATTTTGTTGAACAAGTGTGACACAGTCTTAGGTTCGTTATTATGGGAATCCTTGAATCTGCGTGGGCAAATCATTTCCTTCTCTTTTCATTCAAATCGAGCTCGAAGAGCCAAGCTTCAAGAGTCAATGGACAGGATAACAGAGTTAGACAGGCAGATTATACATAATTCAACCCAAAGCCTTCATGAACAACGTCTTGATTTGCAGACAGAATTCGACTTACTCTCCACAACTGATGCCGAACGCCTTTTGTTTCGTACACGTTCAACCTATTATGAACATGGAGATAAACCTAGTAGACTCCTGGCCCACCAATTGAAACGCCAAGCAGCCTCGCGTTTAATATCCCAAATTAAGGACGATTCGGGCGCCCTGATGTCCAATACAAAATCAATAAATGAAGTTTTCAAAGAATATTATTCATCTTTGTAACAATCGGAATCCACCGCCAATGCCTCTGATTTGTCGTCTTTTCTTAATAATATTACCACACCCACCGTTGATCCAGCTCTGGCTGAACATTTGGATGCCCCCCTTCATTTGGAGGAGATCCTACAAGCCATTATTGCAGGGCACCCGGTCCGGACGGGTTCTCGGCAGAATTCTTTAAAGCATTTGCAGATAAATTAGCTCCATTGTTGCTTTCTGTATATAATGAATCATTAGACCAGGGCAAGTTACCCCCTACACTCTCTCAAGCTATTATTATTGTCCTTTTAAAGAAAGATAAAGATCCTACATCCTGTTCCTCATATAGACCTATATCACTTCTTAATGTTGATGTCAAGATCCTTGCTAAAGTTTTAGCGGGTCGATTAGAAACCGTTCTTCCTTCAGTCATTAGTGAGGAACAGAACGGTTTCATTAGAGGTCGCCAATTCTTTTATAATGTACGTACACTGTTAAACGTTGTAACTTCAAATCACTCCACCACCAGTCCAGAAGTAGTAATTTCACTAGACGCCGAGAAAGCGTTTGACTGCGTAGAATGGGCATATCTTCTTGCTGTTCTACATAAATTTGGATTTGGAAGGCGTTTTATTTCATGGATCCAATTATTATACAATTCACCCCATGCCTATGTCTATACAAACAATACCGTTTCTGAATACTTCAACCTATAACGTGGCACTAGGCAAGGGTGCCCCTTGTCTCCACTTCTTTTTGCACTGGCAATAGAGCCTTTATCAATAGCCCTACGTTCACTCCATTGCTTCCAAGGGATTTCTCGCCTTGGTATTAATTTAAAACTGTCATTGTATGCAGACGACTTGCTTTTATATGTCTCTGACCCCACAATAAGTATTCCACATATCACTTCATTATTGAATTAATTTGGTTCATTTTCAGGATATAAAATAAATATTCTTAAAAGTGAATGTTATCTGGTAAATTCTTTAGCCCTTACTCTCAGACAGACAGATATTCCATTCAGACTTAGCCCCTCAGGATTTAAATATTTAGGAATTAAGATTACTCGCACTTTGCCCTCTTTATTTACAGAAAATTACTCCCTGTTACTTAAGCACATTAAACTAGACTTCCAGCGATGGGGCTCTCTGCCCCTTTCACTTATAGGACGTATTAATACAGTTAAAATGAATATTTTACCACGGTTCCTTTTTCTCTTTCAATGTATTCCTATTTTTCTCCCTAAGATTTTTTTTAAAACTCTTGACGGACTTATAACTTCATTTCACCCCAGGGTGAGGAAACAACTTTTACAGAAATGTACATTTAGTGGAGGACATGCGTTGCCTAATTTGTTATATTACTATTGGTCGGCCCATGTCCATAAACTCAAGTGAACTGCTATGGTGTAGGCTGGAATCGCAGTCATGTACTCTGTCATCATTGGAGGCTCTTGTGTCTTCTCCACTTCCAATTAATCCCAGTCGTTTCACAAAAAACCCAATAGTACAGTCCACACTTAAAATATGGTCTAAATACAGAAAGCATTTTAAGTTCGTGTCCGCATCCCAATTAATGCCCATTGTAAAAAATCCTTTATTTCAGCCTGGTCTTGCAGATGCTACCTACTTGAGATGGAGAAACTGTGGCATCAAAACCATTAGGGATCTTTTTAAAGAAGGCACCTTCTTAAGTTTCTCTGACTTGTCTTCTGAGAATGGACTTCCTGCCACTCACTTATTTCGTTACTCTCAAATATGAAATTGTGTATATTCCCTGTTTCCATCTTATCCTTCTCTTCCAAGTACTCAAACCTGGGAAGAATTGTTATCTCTCAAACCCAATACTAAGTCGATCCTATCTGTAATATATAAGCGAATAATGGACACAGACGTATGTTCGACAGCAAAGGTTAGGATGTCTTGGGAACATGAACTGGGAATTACCAGCAATGGGAGAAGGCAATATCGATAGTCCGCTCTAGCACACCCTCGGCCAGGTTACAACCAATTTAAAATAATGTATAGAGTGCATTACTCAGAATCACGCTTGTCCAAAATTTACCCACAGATAATGTGAAAGATGTCATGCAAGCCCATGTGATCTGAGCCATATGTTTTTCTCATGTCCAATGCTTCATAATTTTTGGAACCAATACTCGGAAATTCTTTCTAAAGCCCTTAAAACTAAAGTTAATTTGAATCCATACTTAACCAGTTCCAGTAAATTCAGTTCTAACTGATCCCGGTCACTCCAAAATCTTAGCCTCACTTATTGCTAGGCTTAAAATTTTACTACTATGGAAATCTTCTAAAGCACCTTTAATATCCCAGTGGTTTCGTCACGTTCTGTTATTCCTTAAAATGTAAAAGATTTATCTCACAAGAGGATACAAAGAAAATTTTGAACGCAAATGGGGTCCTTTTTTGAGATACTGTAAATCATTAAAAACATTGCCAGTGGCTTGAACCCCCCCTTTCCTCCTTTTGTTTATTGTTTTATTTATATTATTTTTATTTTATTTATTTGTTTTTTTTTGTTTATCTTTTTGCTTTATTTTTATTTACTTACTTTGTATAGGATCCATGACTGTTTAGATTGTATTATTTAGTATATACAACATCCATGTTTGTCTCAATGTGTGACTGTAATGGGTCTTTTTTGGGGGTTACTGGTTTAAATAAATAATAACAGTTACAAGAACTTTGAAATTTTTCTATGTGTCCATTATTGTGGAACTTCAATAAAAAAGAATTTTGGCGGGGATCCGAATCACCGTCTGGATGCAGAACGTTTTTAATGTAGCTGAATTTATATGTGTGTATTCTCAGAAATTTCTCACAAAATGTAAAATCTCATAGCTGATTTAGGCAAATTATAAAAATAAATGTTCTCTTAAACATGCTAATTGTTCCCCTCATTATTGTGTGCAAACTTTAAGAAAGAACCCAGTGAATAGAACCCAATGAAAAGGTCATTGGGCTCTTCCCACTGAAGTACAATTAACAAATATTCAGGAAGTTTGTGTAAGCTCTCAGTCGTACAGGGATTAGTCAAAGCAAAGGAAGGTTTCTCACCCATCATCTGTACTTCTTAGCAAGTTTTCCCGACGTTTCGTCCTCAACCTGGGGACTTCTTCAGGGAAT